GTATCCCGGACGGCCCAGCTGAGGTGAAGGTTGATCTGTCCGCCGTCCAGGAAGCATTCAAAGGGTCTGAGGAGTTTGCTGCCCTGAAGAAAGACTATGCGCAACAGGAACTCCCGGCCACCTTCGGTGCTTATCTCGAATGATTCTCCACGGGTGATGCCCGCCGCAACGAGGGGGTCAAACTGCTCGACCAGGATCCAAGGGGCAAAAAAATCAATGACTCCCTGGCCCGATCTCTTTATGTCATGGGCTGCCAACATATCATGGCCCCCTTTGTTGCTAAACTGCATGAAATGCTAGGGAGGCCGGTCGAGCTGTCTGATCTTCCCCAGGCGCCCATCGTCGAAACCCAATATGAAAAATATCAACGGGATTTGCAACGGGCTGCTGATCGTGAAGCGGGGAGAGAGCCTGATCCCCCCACTGATTCAGACGAGGAGGAAGGTGATGAAGAAGACACTAGGGAGGGCCAATAGATTTAGAATTTTGTTTCTTATCAATTGTAATCCCTTCCCCCCTTCTCCTTTTTTGAAATCCATTATTGTATTTTCCGGCCGATAGAGCCGATGAATACACATCTTTTTTGCACAAAGCTTTTCATATTGCCTTCCTTGGTTTATTGCTTACCATTCGGGATTCGGTACATATTTTAGGACTTAGCAGTTTTTTCTGGCCTAAGATGGTTCCGACAATTTACCAAGATTTGGCCTTCCTCTTGTATCGATAGCCATTCGGGCTTCAGATAATTTTGTAGGACTTAGTCGTTTTGTCTGGCCTCAGATGGTTCCTAAAATTTACCAGGATTTGGCCTTCCTCTTGTATCGATAGCCATTCGGGCTTCAGATAATTTTGTAGGACTTAGTTGTTTTGTCTGGCCTCAGATGGTTCTGACAATTTACCAAGATTTCGCCTTCCTCTTGTATCGATAGCCATTCGGGCTTCAGATAATTTTGTAGGACTTAGTCGTTTTGTGAATCTGTTGTTCTTCAATTATCAGTTGGTTCGGGGTCTCTCAGTATGCTTCATGAATTGCCCATTTATACGTTCGAGGAACGTGCTAAAATATCATAAATGTACCATAATTTCGTACAACCATATTTCACCACGTGTCATTCATGGGTTAGGGTTTTGGGCGGCATCTTTGCTTATAAGTAGAGGTGCTTCTCTTCCATTTCTTTTGTTGCTTCCTTAATTTTTCTCTCGTGTATCTCCAAGCTTTCTCTCTCTAAAATTCTCAGGATTCCTCAAGTGGTTTTATGTATTTTCCTTCTAGCTCAGAATCTGAGGAAATGCCGCTGATTCGTGTGGGAAAAACTTCTGCTGTGAACAAGGCCGAAGGCTCTTCTTCCCAAGTACCTAATTCCACTAATCCTCTCATAGGAAAAGATACCGAACAGCCTCGTGATGACGGATGCCTTTCAGGGGACGATGTACAGATCTATAACAAGGGAATGCCCGATCGGCCACCCCGCATTGTCCTGCACTTCAATCGTATTCGCAAACAGAAACAACGTCTTCCTGAAGATGCTGAACGGCAACTTTGCCAACTATTGCCTCCGCCTAGAGATTTTTACGCTGGATTTATCAGGCATCCGATGAGGCACCGACCGGGGCACGTGCTAGTGCATCTTGATGCATTGATTGCCGGGCTTTGCTTCCCTCTTCATCCATTTGTTGTGGAGTTCCTGCGTCGGGTCTCCGTACTTCCCGCTCAGTTCGTACCCAGCACCTACCGCATTCTGACTAGCTTTATAATCAGATGCCAGGAACTGAGGATCGCTCCAAGTGTTGATTTATTTCTACACCATTACTGCTATCAGCCTTACTGGACGACTGGGTACCTGAAGCTGGTAGCCCGAGCTGATCGTCAGTTGTTTACAAATAATCCTACTCCGCCGGCTGACTGGGAGGAGCGATTTCTATTCGTTCGTATAGGCAATTCTCTCCCATTTCCTGATCGGTGGAACGCTTACCCCGTTCGGGATTCTCAGCCCAGAATAGATGTCGTTCTGCGCTCCCAAGCTGAATCTCTGCGTATGGGAGGAACTCGGAGTCTTCGGGGTTTTATTACCCCTTCAAAGATGCTATCTGCCAGGATTGGTAAGTGTAACAGGGTTTTAACCCGATCGTTCTCTTTTTAATTTAGTTTCTTATCTCTTATTCCCGTTGCTGTAGGTGTGATATCCCCTATACCCATTCGGCGTTCCATATCTGCCGCTACTCTAACAGCTTCCTCCGGTAAAGGCAAGGAGAAGGTGCTTGCTGATCATGCCTCTTCTGAGCAAACCCGGAAGAAACGTAGGGGGAATGACGGCAGCATACTGATCCCGGTCGATCATGTGGTTGATTTGACTCGACCGGAGGCTGAGCCAAAAAGATCTGTGCCTGCCAAACCGAAAACTCCAGTTCTTTCTGATATGCCAGCCGACGATCGGATGTTCGTTGAGTTTTCAAACATGGGGCCTAGAGCAGAAGGAAGGTACCTGTTCGGGCTAATGCCATCATCCATGTGGTGCAGTACTTCGCTGAAGGTTCCCCCTAGTTTCACAAACCTGACTCACTGGTCTGATCTACTTGAGGCAGGTCATCAAGAGGCACTCAAGGTACACTTCATTTTGATTCATACTTTCCTACTTTTTATTTGTTCATCTCATCTGACTTCGTTTGCCACTTGTCTTCAGGCCGGTGTATATTATCACAAGGCTTTCCTGGCGGCCGAAAAGGAAATGAACTCCTGGCCAGCGATCGGGATGATAGCCAGGTCCTCTTTTCCGCCGCTCGGAAATTAACTGCAGATCTGCAAGAACGCGCCAATGAAGGCGAGAAGGCGAAGGCTGCTCTGGATGCGATGCAAGAGAGGACCCGACGTCGTGATCGGGAAATTAAAGAACTCCGGTCCAAGGTGCGGGCTGCTGAATCTGCCGAGATAAAATTTGATAAGGCCAATGGTGACAATCTTCCCAAGCCTTATACTGCCAACACTTCCCAGATTGCCAATCAATCAATAGTTGACTATCAACGGGGTAAAGGGCTGAACGTCGCCCTCGAGAATACGGCTCGACAATTCCTGGGACCTCATCTTGGCCAATTTTTGCGTGAAAGTGAAGATCCTGTTAAGGCAGGCATCGATCTCCTAGATAGCACGCCCGAAGGGAAATATTTTCTAGATGTCGTGACCGAGAAAACTGTGAAACAAAGTCAGGATTTGCTTTTGGACAGGAACCTTGATCTGATCCTGGAGTATTTCCCTAAGCCATTCGATCCTGATGAATTGGGATTTGATGATCTGTTCGGGAATACCTATGATCGGGTTATGGAGAGGAGAAAAGAAGCAGTGCCTGATGATGCAGCGCAGGCAGGGAGCTCCCAACATTTATCTTCCCCGAACGGCGATCCTCCAGCAGCGTAGCCTTGTGTATTTATTTTTCGCCTTTTCTTCTTTTTCTTTTGTATCTTCCGGTTAGTAGTACTGAAGAATAAACTGGATATTTTCCATTAACCGTGTTGAAGTATTGCTCTTCTGTTTTTTTATTTTTGTCGTTTCTCTCGTTCATAATAATTTCTGTGTTGCCGAACATCATTCGGCTCATGTATCTCTATATTTCTGACATTGTTTTCAAGCCGTTTTGATCCCTCTGTTCGGTCGTAAGGCCAGGGTCAAATTCTTTTAGCTGAAATAATGTCTTCCTCCAAACCGTTAAGACGTTCATCATTCGGTCATCTCTCTGAAAGTTACGATTCTCCGGACGACAATCCATGTTACCGAACGTCGCTCGTTTTGACAAAACTTGTTCTGACACCATTCCCAAACCGTTTTGATCCCCTTATCGTTCGTGATCCACGGGGTCAAAAATCTTTTAGCTGAGGTGAATCCCTCCAAGCCGTTTCGATCGTGATCACAGGGTCAAATTTTTAGCTGAGATGGCGGCTCCCTCCAAACTGTTAACCCGTTCGTCTTTCGGTCATCCGGAATGATCCCACGTGTTAACAAGCTGAGGTAAGACTCTCTCTCTTCCAAACCCATAATTCCGATGCATTCCGAACAATTCTCTCTGGTTCGTATCATCCATATTAGGGGTCTGAGGTAACCCTTTTCAAACTGTAAGCAAAGTCGCCGGATCGGGTTATTCCTTACTTATAGCTAAAAGGGCGACTCGCTTCCAAATCAAGTTAATGACTGAGGCGAGATTTTTCAAAACCATAGTTCTGATTTCCCGGACGACGATCCGTACTTTATCCGAACGTCGCTCGGTTCGTCCATACTTATAGTCTTGACATCATCTCCAAGCCATTTTGATCCCTTTGTCCGGTCGTAATTACAGGTTCAAATTCTGTTAGCTGAGTTGATGGCTCAGCTCCCTCCAAACTGTTAACCCGTTCCTCATTCGGTCACCCAGAATGATTCTGCGTGTTAAAAGCTGAGGTGAGATTCCCTGACATCAAACTCCAAGCCGTTTTGATCCATTTAACAATTTGTAATTACAGGGTCAAATTCTGTTAGCTGAGATAATGGCTGCCTCCAAACTGTTAACATGTTCCTCATTTGGTTGTCCGGAACGATTCCCATGTTAACTGCTGAGATGAGACTCTCAGAGCGTCAAACTCCAAGTCGTTTTGATCCCCCTTATGATTGCAGGGTCAAATTCTGTTAGCTGAGAATGACTTTCCTTCCATGTTGTTAACCCGTTCGACATTCGGTCATCCGGAATGACTGCGTGTTAACCATGGGCTAAGATTTTCTGAGCATCGATTCTCCAAGCCGTTTTGATCCCTTTATCCATTCGTAATTCTAGGGTCAAATTCTTTTAGCCGAGAATGATGGCCCTCTCCAAACTATTAATCCGTTCGTCGTTCAGTCCTCCGAAATGACTACAAATTAAAGTTGAGATGAGCGCTTTCTGGAAGTTATGTCTCCCTCTATATATATATATATATATATATATATATATATATATATATATATATATATATATATATATATATATATATATACCCAAAAGCCCACTTGTATTAATTAACCTGTTTGATTACAAGGAAACTTCCCGATCGGTACGTCGGAACTGTGCTTTTAATACAAGAAACGAGAGTAATAATGCTATTCTAGGGCTTGAGTATCAAAATGCTAACCCTTACAATGATATTAAACCTTCTATTTATACTAATGGAGAGCATGGGCTGCTCTATGCTGATTGGCTGTTGTTTCACCGACTTGATCACCCATACTTCCACTTGCTGATGTCACAATCTGGCATTAATTGCACCTGGCCACTTGCTGGTTGCCCGTTGCTCGAACGGGATGCTGGACCATGCGGAAGACGCTGGCAAATTGGCCCAAGTATGATATATGATCCGATCTCTGTTTGATATTTCTGTTTTCTGGGTCGGCCTCTACTTGGACCGAACCTCGTTCGGTATGGATTCTTCATTGGGCCTACTCATCATAGGGTAGTGGACTCGTTGTTTGGGCTGGATACCCTGGGCTATTTTAATCCGGGTATTGGGCATCCGGGTCAATATCCCAACAAATATAATTATTAACATTAGATGAACACTAGCAGTCTGGCATATTTCCTTGAAAGAGTTTTAAGGAGATATGTTTTACCTCATCATCACATCCCCGTTAACATTGGTGATCAATGTCTTTGATCAAAAATCACATTCCTCTTTGGGTTGATGAACCTGCCATAGATCAAGTAGTAGTAGTAATTGGTTGTGAAATGCTTGGTGGTGGTGTGGTTTGCAACCAATATTGAGGGTATTTATAGTGGCAGAATAGTGTCTTCTAAGAGCAAATTGGTTTTTATCCAATGGTCCATCGTACCAAAATCTTTATAAAAGATTTTGTAATACAATCATTAAATGAGTTGAACATCCACCAACACTTTCAACCAATAAGCAAATTGTAGTACAATCATTAAATGAGCTTTGGTTACACATTTCCTTTTAATCTATCATGGGATATTGAAAAGACATTCAAGGATTTTGTAGTACAGCCTAATTAATGTGATATGACACAAACCCATAGTGATTCGTGGAGCCAACATTAGATGTCCTTTTTATTGAGCCTCACAATGCTTTATTGGTTATTGGGTAATGCATTTAATGTTAATCTATTATTGGCCTCATATTAAGACAACATTGTGGTTTACATGTCCTTTTTATGGAGCTTCACAAATTGCTTTATTGGTTGATGGACTTTGCATTTAATGCTCTAAAATTTTATTGAGCCTCACAATTTCAGTTTACAAATCCAATGTAAGTGACCCATATCTGAAAATCCGACCCGCCTCCCTGTAGATCCATCTCGACCCCTGAGTGTGATGTTTTTGAGCTAGAACACTGTTCATGGTTACTGTTCACATTTTATCCTCATTTTGTATAATAGAAGATGTTGAAAAAATGTATTCCCTCCATCCCTAAAATCACTTCCATAGTACATTTGACACGAGAATTATGATAATACGTATTGTGCGATGAAGAGTTGTGTAAAAGAGACAAAAATGTGTAAGAATGTGTAAGAATTACTGTTAACCATAAATTCTTTACCAAAAAAATAAAGTGAAAATTTAGTTTGCAATGCCCAAACAAGAAATTTAAAAGTTTGATTAGAGACGGAGGAAGTAATTTGAATTATTGAGTTTTACATCAGGTCAAATCAAGAGCCCACGCATTTAGTAATATTAAAATTAGTTAAATCAGATGAATGTATTGTATTCTAATTTTTTTATAATGAAAATACATTTTATTAATACAGAAAAGATTATATGAAAAAATATAGCTAAATGGTCGTCTACGATAACATCAGTCAACTCAATCAGAAAAATAACTTAAATCTTACTCCCTCCGTCCCAAAAAATACTTTTCACTTTCTTTTTTGGATCATTCCAAAAAAACACTTCCTACTTTCCCTTTTTGGACAATTTGTGTGACTCACATTCATTTTACTTTTTTCTTACACAAGCACAACCACACATTACCACTTTATTCCACTTTCTTAATAAACACGCCAATTCGAACCGGAAAGTATTTTTGGGACGGAGGGAGTATTTATTTTAAATATCACACAATTTAAAGCGCAAACATGGATAATGCATATATACCTTTAATATATATATATATATATATATATATATATATATATATATATATACCTTTAAATCTATAATAAATTGACATTTGAATAATGCATATTGTAATGAAGCACATTATTAAATATTTTTTTGGGATAAAATATTATTAATTTTGAGTAACTAGTAGTCAAAGTTTAACGAGTTTGACTCAAAAAAGTCAAACATGGACTTTTATTTAGGGACGCAGATAGTAGATACTACTTCATCCTACGAATATTGGGACATGAGGAGGTTGTGCAGAAATTAAGATAAATGAGTTCGAATTGTTGATATTGATTTAATAAAATAAGAATAAAATAAAAACAATCTAGAAAACACAAACTTTATCTAAATTGGTAGAAACAATAGAAAGGAAGAGTTAATTACTTTAGTCCACACCCGCACAATAGAAAGGAGGTTGTGCACATCGGGTCAAATACTATGAACATCTTCTTAGTCGCCTTAATTAGTTAAGCAATCATTAATCACTAACAAATGTGTCCTCGTGTGCATTTGCGCACCATATATTAATCCACACCCGCACGTTAAATATTAAAAGGCAATGATGTTAGGCAACGCTAATTAATTGTTTGTTCGATTGTAATTGTTGACTTCTTGTTGGTGTGCTGCACCGCTTTTTCATCGAGAGAATTTCCTAAGTAGGAGTAAAAAAAATTTGAAATTCAAAAATAAGAGTATTTTGTTTTTTATTCTTTGAATAAGAGTAAATTTCTGACAAGTTTGACATTACTAATCTTTCAAACATGACATTTTTTTAAACTTGACAGATTACTCTTATTTAGGGAATAAAAACATGATACTCCTATTTTGGAATTTCAAAACGTTTTTACTCCTATTTAGAGCAATTTCTATTTTTCATAACTCATGGAAACGGAGAAAGATACAAATGTGAGAGAGGAGTATTGATGTTCTTTTATTCATAATAAGTAGTTTAAATCTATGTTTTTTTTTTCAAATTTTAAAAAATATTTAGTAAACGTGTATATTTACTCTTACACAAACAAGAGTATATTTATTCATTTTCAATTCCTTAATTGTGATCAAGGGCACAAAATATATCATATAATCAGTTTTATCGTGCACAACTGCGCACGATAAAACCGTGTAATTTATGTTAAAAGAAATGAGAATACGTTTTAAAAGAAATGAGTAATGATATTAAGTCATAAAATTAGCACAATAGTTTATTTGACGATAATACAATGATAACATAGTTAAATCAATAAGTTGATTTGTAACATACGTAGTATATACTAGTATTACTCAATTGCATGTCTTGAATACCCAATTGTGCTACCAATACAATTGATGTTGTGTGTCTCATTTCTTTTAAACGGTATACGCATTTCTTTTAACATAAAATATCCGTTTGTATCGTGTATACGGTACGACCGGTTATATAGCGTACGTTCTCGATCGATCAAGGGTCTAACTTTATTTAAAGCATGTTCATAAAAACGTTTATTTAGAGCATAAAGTTTGGATTTAAATGTGTTCTTCTATTATTATGCAAACTTTGTGTATAGGTGTATATTTATATTTGGCTAAAGGGTCAAATAGACCCATGTATCAATCGTGTAAGCTCAATTCAGTTCCTGAACTAAAAAAAGGTTCAATTCACACCTCGAATCAACAAAAATGGTTCAAATTTCATTTTTTTACAGGAGAACAACCGGTCTTTTTTAAATTTTTAATTGTTTCTGTTTTTTATTTCAATTTATTGCAATTTTGACACTTTTTAATATACTAGGGGTAGGACAACTTGAGGGCAAATAAAGGAGTCAAATACGTCTTAAATGAGCTACCTTAAATAATGTATGCAAAATACACGATCAAATCACAAGTAAATCGACCTTTAATTATACGTGTATAATAATTATTGTTTAATTACTGTACACGTAAAGCGACTCTGATACCATATTTGTTTTTTCTCCGCTCCAACTCGTAGTATTTAATTATTGTTTAAATCTCTAAAATCATGTTTTGAAGAGTATAAACTAAGGAGTGAAAATATGTGTATAGTATGTATATCTAATAAAAGCATGCAAATGTCCTTAATTAACTTTACACTTTCCTTTTGGGGTCGTCCCATATTAAACTTTACATTTCCTTATTTGCCTTATTTGGCAAACAAATCTACACCAAACAGTGCAAAACAGTGTCAAACAGTGTTAAACTGTATCAAACGGTGTCAAACAATGTAATCTACAGTAAAGTCAAATTTATTTTTTTAATATATGTGAAGTCAAAGTGTAAACTTCATTAAGAACCGGATGGAGTACTATATAATTGAGAAATTGGCTTTCGGCAAAATTCGAATAGTTACAATCTTTATTGAGTTTTTCTATTAAATAGCTCAATGTTCATCAAGTTTACAGATACCTAAACTCGGGGATGGGTACCGATTTGACCACAATCTTTAATTAATCCTAACACATGAATTAACTATACATCAGCAAGCTAAGATCAGAACTGATTAAGAGAGCCCTTTCCATCCTTACCCGTGTGTTAACAAGAAATCTAATTTTTCCATTGAGTAGGCCGGAGTAATTACAAGGTAACGACAGAAATATTAGAATAGTACGTATTAATTAATTAATTAATTAATTAATTAATAAGCTAGCATATTAATTAATTAATTAAAGATTTGGAAGTCAAAGTAGTCGCCCTAACATGCAAAAAGAAAGAAAAAGCTAGCATGCACAAACAAACGTGTTGTGCAATGGATAGCAAAGTGCCAAAATATCATAAATACATCTAAAATTAGGTGCATCTTTCTTAAACAAAGTTAGAGATATTATTAAGCATACTGGTGAGCACGCTCGCAAACAACTACAGAGCATTAAACTATAAAAGTCGTGGTCGTCATTACCCCAATGCCGCAAAGGCTCCCACCTATGGTGGGTTAAGGGAGGGTGGGATGTACGCAGTCTTACTCTTGTTCTAAAGCACAGAGAAACTGTTTCCGAATGACCTGTAGTGAACTTCACGTAGGAAATTAAACTATAAAAGTACGAAGACAAAAACGTGCATATTATAAGAACTCACCCTAAACTTTTATTAATATCCTTTGTTAGTATGATGTGATCCGATTTCATCGGATTAATATTAAACTTTTTACAACTCACCCTAAACTTTTGAGAGATGAAAATTCTAGAGGCTCGAACAATGTTTTGGGTTCCCACCGTCACCAATACATCAGCGTGCATAAGAAATCACTCTTAATTGATTGATTGTGCGTGTTCTCACACCCTCAACAAATAAAATATATAAGGAAAACTTTGTTTTTATCTAAAAACTGCGTAATCAGTAATACTCCCCATGTGCGAGTATTACATGTTTTATAGATCGAGTGAAGAGATGGCCTCGTTAAGGATGGGATGGGAAAATTGGCTGATATGAAATTGTATTAGTTCTACTATACATTAAAATTTGAAACAAAATACTAGAGGTCATGTCAGGGGCGAAACTAAATGACCGAACAGTTAGTTAAGAGGATGTAAATTGCACTTTAATCACAAGTTGATAGATAGTGATTGTAGCTCTGGTCCACATATTTGCAGAAACCCAATGTATTTATATATAATAATA